CCTTTAGCCCCCCCCAAAACTGACAGCCCCCCATTTCCTTGTAGCTCCCCCCAATGCCCTGGAGCTGCTGTGGTTCCCAACCCCTCCAAACTCTACGGGGACACCCCCATTTCCCCATAACCACCAGGAGGGCACCCCCAGCTCCCCCAAAACACCAAGGGGGGGTACCCCAATTCCTCCAAAATACTGGAGGGGCAGAGAAAAGGAAGGGAAAGACCCCATTTCCCTGCCTCCATTGGCTCTGGGGCCTGACCCTCTGCCCGCCTGGTGGGTTCAAAGGGAGTTGGGGGTCCCTGAAGATATCGGATGGGGTTGTTTCTTGCTTTCCTCCCCAAAATCTCACTTTGTAACCCCAAAAAAGTGCGAGCTGTACCACTGGGTGGATCTGCTGGATCGTTTCGACGGGATCCTGGCGGAGGCGGGTCGGCCGGTGGAGAACATGTCCTGGATGTTGGCCTGCGACCGGCCGGAGCGGGAGCAACTCAAAGCTCTTCTCTTGGCTCTTCTCAACTTCACCGCCCTCCTCATCGAGTACAGCTTCTCCCGCCACCTCTACAGCTCCATCGAGGTACCCAAAATGGACCAGAGCACCCTAAAAAACCTCCTTAGGGGTGTTAACAGGTGTTTAATGTCATTTTTTTGGGGTGTCTTGCAGCACCTGACGACGTTGTTGGCCTCCTCGGACATGCAAGTGGTGTTGGCCGTGCTCAACCTCCTCTACGTCTTCAGCAAACGCTCTAATTACATCACTCGTTTGGGCTCCGATAAACGAAGTCCTCTCCTCTCCCGTCTCCAGCACCTGGCTGAGGTGAGGGAGAAAAAGCAGATTATCACCTTATTTTTGGGGTTTTTTTTCTTGGGGAGGGGTTGTTCCTGACGTCACCCAGGTTGATTTTGATGTTGTTTTATGTTTTGGGGTTCCCTCCCACGCAGAGCTGGGGCGGGAAAGAGAATGGATTCGGGTTGGCCGAGTGCTGTCGTGACCTCCACATGATGGTGAGTGGCACTTCTGTCACTTTTTGGGGTCCCCCCAACGTTGTCCTGTGTCCTCTTCTCACATCCTGGGGTCCTCAATGTTCTCTGGTGTCCCCTTGTCACATCTTGGGGTCCCCAACGCTGTCCTGTTCCCCCCCCTGCCACATCTCAGGGTCCCTCTGTGTCATCTTGTCCCCTCTTGGGGTCCCCCAGTGCCATCCTGGGGTCCCCCAATCCTGTGCTGGGGTCCCCAAGGTTCTCTGGTGTCCCCTTGTCACATCTTGGGGTCCCCAACGCTGTCCTGTTCCCCCCCTGCCATGTCTCAGGGTCCCTCAGTGTCATCTTGTCCCCTCTTGAGGTCCCCTGAAGCCACCTCGTGTCCCCTGGGGGTGCCCTGGTGACCCCCGATCCTGTCCTGGGGTCCCCAAGGTTCTCTGGTGTCCCCTTGTCACATCCTGGGGTCCCCAAGGTTCTCTGGTGTCCCCTTGTCACATCTTGGGGTCCCCAACGCTGTCCTGTTCCCCCCCTGCTGTATCTCAGGGGCTCTCTGTGTCATCTTGTCCCCTCTTGAGGTCCCCTGAAGCCACCTCGTGTCCCCTGGGGGGGCCCTGGTGCCCCCCGATCCTGTCCTGGGGTCCCCAAGGTTCTCTGGTGTCCCCTTGTCACATCTTGGGGTCCCCAACGCTGTCCTGTTCCCCCCCTGCTGTATCTCAGGGGCTCTCTGTGTCATCTTGTCCCCTCTTGAGGTCCCCTGAAGCCACCTCGTGTCCCCTGGGGGGGCCCTGGTGCCCCCCGATCCTGTCCTGGGGTCCCCAAGGTTCTCTGGTGTCCCCTTGTCACATCTTGGGGTCCCCAACGCTGTCCTGTTCCCCCCCTGCTGTATCTCAGGGGCTCTCTGTGTCATCTTGTCCCCTCTTGAGGTCCCCTGAAGCCACCTCGTGTCCCCTGGGGGGGCCCTGGTGCCCCCCGATCCTGTCCTGGGGTCCCCAAGGTTCTCTGGTGTCCCCTTGTCACATCTTGGGGGCCCCAACACCGTTCTCTGTCCCCTTGTCACATCTTGGGGTCCCCAACGCTGTCCTGTTCCCCCCCTGCCATGTCTCAGGGTCCCTCAGTGTCATCTTGTCCCCTCTTGAGGTCCCCTGAAGCCACCTCGTGTCCCCTGGGGGTGCCCTGGTGACCCCCGATCCTGTGCTGGGGTCCCCAACGTTCTCTGGTGGCCCCTTGTCACATCTTGGGGTCCCCAACGCTGTCCTGTTCCCCCCCTGCTGTATCTCAGGGTCTCTCTGTGTCATCTTGTCCCCTCTTGAGGTCCCCTGAAGCCACCTCTTGTCCCCTGGGGGTGCCCTGGTGACCCCCCATACTGTGTTGGGGTCCCCAATATTCTCTGGTGTCCCCTTGTCACATCCTGGGGTCCCCAAGGTTCTCTGGTGGCCCCTTGTCACATCTTGGGGTCCCCAACGCTGTCCTGTTCCCCCCCCGCCACGTCTCAGGGTCCCTCAGTGTCATCTTGTCCCCTCTTGGGGTCCCCCAGTGCCATCCTGGGGTTCCCCAAAGCCACCCCGTGTCCCCTGGGGGTGCCCTGGTGACCCCCACTACTGTGCTGGGGTCCCCAATGTTCTCTGGTGTCCCCTTGTCACATCCTGGGGTTCCCCAAAGCCACCCCGTGTCCCCTGGGGGTGCCCTGGTGACCCCCACTACTGTGCTGGGGTCCCCAATGTTCTCTGGTGTCCCCTTGTCACATCCTGGGGTTCCCAAAACTGTCCTGTTCCCCCCCTGCCACATCTCAGGGTCCCCCCGATGTCATCTTGTCCCCTCTTGGGGTCCCCCAGTGCCATCCTGGGGTTCCCCAAAGCCACCCCGTGTCCCCTGGGGGTGCCCTGGTGACCCCCCATACTGTCCTGTGTCCCCTTGTCACCTCCCGGGGTCCCTTGATACCATTTTGTGGTCCCTCTTCATGTTTTGGGGTCCCCTCATTGTGTCACATGTCCCCCAACACCATCCTGTGTCCCCTCGGGGTGGCCTGGGGTCCCCAATAGTGTCCTACCCCCTCCTGTCACCTTCTGGGGTCCCCAAAACTATCCTGTGTCCCCCTGTCATGTCACGGAGCCCCCCCCAACACCATCCTGTGTCCTCTTGTCACCTCCAGTGTCCCCCATCAACGTTCTGTCACCCATTTTGCTTCCTGGGGTCCCCTTCTGTCACCCCCTCCCACGTCCTGATGTCCCCAAACCCAACTTTGTCACCCTTTTTGTGTCCCCAAACCCCATCCCATCACCCGTCCTGTGTCCTGGTGTCCCCAAACCCAATTTTGTCACCCTTCTGTGTCCCCAAACCCCATCCTGTCACTCCTCCTGTGTCCTGGTGTCCCCAGATGCGACTTTGTCACCCTCTTGTGTCCCCAAACCCAACTTTGTCACCCTTTTTGTGTCCCCAAACCCCATCCTGTTACCCGTCCAGTGTCCTGGTGTCCCCAAACCCGACTTTGTCACCCTCTTGTGTCCCCAAACCCAACTTTGTCACCCTCTTTGTGTCCCCGGGCCCCATCCTGTCACCCCCTTGTGTCCCCAAACCCAACTTTGTCACCCTCTTTGTGTCCCCGGGCCCCATCCTGTCACCCCCTTGTGTCCCCAAACGCGACTTTTGTCACCCTCTTTGTGTCCCCAAACCAAATCCTGTCACCCCCTTGTGTCCCCAAACGCGACTTTTGTCACCCTCTTTGTGTCCCCAAACCAAATCCTGTCACCCCCTTGTGTCCCCAAACCCGCAGAAGTACCCCCCCAGTGCCACCACCCTCCACTTCGAGTTCTACGCCGAGCCGGGCGTCGAGGTGAAGGTGGACAAGCGGGTGAGTGACAAAGGGACGCTTGGGGGGTGATGGGGGGGCCCAAAAATTTGAGGGGGGCCCCAAAAATTTGGGGGGGGCTCCCCTTTTAACCCCCCCCCCCCCCCCCCAACAGG